TGAGGCTAGTGTCGGTCCATTTGTTTTTAGCCTTCGTTTTCAGGAGTTGGAGCGTGAAACTCAAGCGGGTCACCTCAGGATTGCAACCATCATACAATGGAGTGTTCGAGTCTACCACTAGTTGCTCCAACTTAGCTTCCTCTCTAGAAGCAGCTCTCTCAGTACTCGTCTCCTTGCAAAGCAATGCTTGAACATGAGGGCCCCGCAAGATTGAACTTAGTAACCACGAACTCTGCTGCGTGGAGTCCATGTTGTTCTCTCCGCCGCCATGTCCGGCCCCTTCTCCTCCGCCATGTCCGACCCCTTCTCCTCCGCCATGTCTGGCCCCTTCTCCACAGCCAGTCCGGCCTCTTCACCGCCGCCATTATCGATCATCTCTTTGTCTTGCCCCGTGTCATCATTGCCTGCCCTGTCGGCGTCCTCAACATCGTCATCCTCATCTTCAATTATCCACCGAGTATAGCCATCCATGAAACCAGTCATGAGCAGGTGCGCTTCGACACGACCATCGTCATGGGGGTCGAGCCAAACTATTCCTTTGCATTTTTGACACGGACATAAAACCTCTGTCCGGTTATTTTCTTTCATGTCCTGCACCACCGACCGCAACCACCTGTCCACCATCGTTCCACTGACCATCGTGAACTCTGCATGGTAATAATAAACAAATTTATTATAAAAATGCATGCATGCATCAAAGTCATACAAAAATTCGGCATGACCTTCCCTAAAAATAGGACATATATAGATCTAGAGTTTGCCCGGAATTCGCCGAAACGGAAATAAATCGACATTTCGGCAAAACATAGGCAACTCAAAAGCACAATTTGGCGTCAACTCATGCCACACACACAATTTCCATCATATCTCCCAATTATCATATCACACACACATAAACATATTTCCATTTTGCAAAAGCATGAAATGTTAATCACCTCTATCTCGAGATCGAGCACACGGTGGAGATGATGATGTAGGGAGATCAAAAAGTGCACAAAGCTCTTCTTGACAAAGATAGATCTAGTTAGGGGGAAAATAGGTCACTTAACTAAATGCTACATCTACCTAGCTAGCTAATTTGGGAGGAGACAATTTCAACTAATGGAGGGGGGAGGAAAAAGAGAAAGGAGATGCATTAATGGAGGAGGTGTAGTTAGCTAGGAGTAATGAAGAGAGAGAAAGGTAGGTAGGAGAGGGAGAGTAATGGGGGAGAAGTATTGTGGAAGAAGAAGAGTGAATGAGGGAGGATGTGGGGGTAGGGGAAAGGGAAGAGAGGAGATGGGGGAGGGGAGGGCGGGTGGGGAAAGGTGGTGGGCTGGTGCGGCTTAGCAGTAGCGCGGGTGGCAAAACGCGATGCTGACAATAAATTAGCAGCAACGCGCTTCCCACAAAAGCGCTACTGCTAAATGGGACCGAATGTGTGCCCAAATTGAAAATTAGCAGCAGCGATCTCAGAAAAAGCGCGCTGCTACTAATGCTTTAGCAGTAGCACGGGTCGAGACAGCGCGCTGCTGCTGAATGTAGGTTGGCGGACACTGTCGGTCGATATTTGTAGCAGCGCGGGTTGCTCCAAGCGCGCTACTGCTAACTCCCTTTCAGTAGCGAGTTTTGCGAGCACGCGCTGCTGATAATTAGCAGTAGCGCCTCTTTTTGAGCCGCGCTGCTGCTAAGATTCTGTGTATAAAGTTTTCCTAGTAGTGCATAAGCACACCTTGGGGGTTCAACAATCATGAAAATCGCTTTGGGACCTCATTTTTTAAATACATGAACTTTTTCAAATATATTTTGAACATTTTCTAAATACACATTAAATATTTCTAAAATACATGTCGAGCATTTTTTGAAAGGTATGGAACCTTTTTTAAGTGACACAACCATTTTTTTTATATTGTAAAACATTTCAAAAAATCAAGAACATATTTTTGAAATGTGTGAAGTTTTTTTAATTATATGGACAACTATTTTAATAATACATTGTTGGGAAAAGTACGTGAATATTGTTTACACTGTCTAAACATTTTTATGAAACACATTAAATTTTTTTGAATGGGATGACCATTGTTTGAATGATACAAACATTGTTAAAAATGGGACAAACAAATTTTGTACATTGCATTAACTTTTTTAAATACTTTAATTAAATTAAAATTTGAAAATTATGAACAAAAGTTTTAAAACAAGCAGGAAACTAAATGAGTGAACGAGAAGCAAATAAGAAAGAAAAAACAAAGCTACTTGGCCGGCCCAATAGCAGTGACGTGTGGTGCCTCGCTGGGGCATGAGACCTGGGAGCAACTAATTAACGAGCGCTTCTTCGGGAGCCTCGCAACGATCAGCGCCACTTGGCACGTTCACAGCCATTCGTCACGTGTCGCGCTCGGGGCACTCCCTCCGATTTTTTTACGCACGCGTTTTCGGTTTTTTAAAGGTTTTTTTAGGGTTTTTTATGACGTTTTGGTTTTCTACCGGTCTTCCCTAGCTTTTCGACCAAAATTTTTTTTCGAAAAAAATATTTTTTTTGCGCAAAAAAATGCATTTTTTTTGCGAGAGTCACGATTTTGTTTTCGCGAGAGGCACGGGCGTGCCTCTTTCAGAAAGGGAAAAAAATCGCGTTTTCTATTTTTTTTCTTTCACGAGAGGCACGGTTTTGCTTCCGCCAGAGGCACGGTTGTGCTTTCGCAAGAGGCATGGTCATGCCTCTTTCGGAAAGGAAAAAACGCGTTTTCTGTTTTTTTTTCTTTCGCGAGAGGCACGGTTTTGCTTCCTCCAGAGGCACGGTTGTGCTTTCGCGAGAGGCACAGGCGTGCCTCTTTCGGAAAGGAAAAAAATGCATTTTCTGTTTTTTTTTTGCGAGAGGCACGGGCGTGCCTTTTTCGGAAAGGGAAAAAAACACGTTTTTTGTTTTTTTTTCTTTTGCGAGAGGCACGGTTTTGCTTCCGCCAGAGGCACGGTTGTGCTTTCGCGGGAGGCACGGGGCGTGCCTCTTTCGGAAAGGGAAACAACCCGTGTTCCCGGTCTGTTTTTTTGTCGGTTTTTTTCGTCTGGTTTTTTTCGTGAATAAAAAGTTCGTCAAAACCTATCAACATGGGATCTAGTTTTGAAGATCTCGACGCGAGGAATCCAATGGCGAAAGCGGTTTGAGATTTAGACGCACGGTTTAAGAGATAAAACATTTTGAATAAACGGATCTACGAAAAATGGAAAACTCCCAGTTTACGACAAGTGGCGCACAGACAGCGCGCCACTTGTCGCAACCTGGGGGAGTTGGAGTGATCTCCGCAAGGAGTACTTCTTAATTAGTGATTTCGATGAGACCTCCTCTTCTCTCGCTATAGACAAGATAAAATGCTACCCGAGATGACAACCACCATAAAATTAGGAAAAGACTAGCGCTCGACCGACTTATTTTAATTGTGCCATCCACCGCCTTGCGCACGTGACGTTTGTCCCCATCGAAGTTAAGTCGGGCTTTGTAACATGGCCCATGTTACAATCCACAAAAAACATGCGTGGGAGCTTTGCAAAGGATTGGAGTAAGACCCATATTGCAAAGGGACACATGTGTGGGAGCTCAGTCCGGGATTACAACATGAACCATATTGCAAAAGACACACATGTGTGGGAGCTTTGCCCGGGATTGCAAGATGGACCAATGTCGCAAAGGATATGGCAACGTGAGGCATGTGATGTGTTTGTGAGAGTCCAGCCTAAGATTGCAATAGGGACCGTGTTGCAAGGGATGGGGCAGCGCGAGACATGTGACACGTGTGGGCCGGAGAGCTCAGCCTGAGATTGCAACATGGCCATGTGTTGCGGTTAGAAACAAAGAGCATGCGGCAATGAGTTTTTCAAGATGAACCTTAGAAAACAGTTTCACGAAACACAACACGTCTCGTGTTGCAAGCCCCGAATGCAACACGAGCCATGTTGAGAACAGGCTGGGATGCACTTTTGACGTGGGTAGAGATAGAACGGATGTCCCACACAGCATCGAACGGCTGTCGAGGCGGTCGATGCGATCCGATTTTTTTCGATTTTCACCTGGCCGACGCGTAGTGTAGGCATAATATTATCTTTGTCCAGTTCTTCTTTTTAGTCTATTTTTTTAGTAGAGTTTTTTTTTTTTGAGAGGGGTAGGCTTAGCCCAGCTGTGAGAGCGGTGGACGGGCTTGCAGCCAGTGGGCTGTGAAGGCCCTAAAATGAAAGCCCAGCTAATGTGGTAAGTTAGCAACCCTAGCTCTAGTCAGGCCCAAGCCGCACGCCGGAGGAGGAGGCCGCGAGTGGAGTGGCGGCGCCAACTCCGTCTCCGGGAGGAGCGACGGCGGTGCGGCTCTCTTTCCGGGGAGGGGAGGAGCGACGTCGGCGCAGCGAGTGAAGCGGCGGCGAGGAGCAACGTCAGGATCTCTGTGCTCCCGCCGGCGCAATCCCAGGTTCGCCCCCAATTCTGAAACCTTTTATTTACTCCAATTTCGAATTGAGGAGCCCCAATTTCCTTCAAACATGAAAATGGCAACACGGCCTTGAATTCTATGACTGATGAGCGCCCAAAATTTACTAGAGACCTGTCCTGATGATACTGGAAATCAGAGACCTGTCCAAAATTTTCACTAAAATAGTGAAAATTGATAGATGATTTAGTTAAATTCAGTAGACTGAGAACTTGGGTACATGTCCCCTGCCTGCACTCTAAATTATCTGCCTCAACTTACGGCACTGAATAAACTGGAACTGAAAGTAGTTAACTTGTGTGAGATACAAACAAATCGCACTAGAGAGATTCTTGTTTGCCATGTAAAATTGTAAACAGGTTTCCTGGTGCGCAAATAGTTTCAGCATATAATAAGTTCATAAAGAAAGGTTTAGCTTTCATCAACCCCTTACAGAGATATGATTGATTGGGCTACAGAAAGCCCGACTAATCCTTTTCAAATACCCCAACTCTGAAACTTTGGGTTGGTTTCAATTGTGACTGACATGTTCAGTGAACTGGCAGGTTCCTCATGTCGATGTTCACCGGTGTGTCCATCGTCGATGGCGACAAGCAGAGCTCCTGCGACACGTCGGCCATCTACGCTGGTGATGCGGACAGCGGGTACCACCTGCTCATGGTCCGGGGCTACTTGCGCACCAAAGAGGAGTTACCCACGGGCGAGAGTGCCCGCACCGGTCTTTTCACAATGGGAGGACATGATTGGTACGTCGAGTACTACCCCAACGGCATAAACAAGGACTGCGCTGACTTCATCTCTCTTGATGTTACCCTTCTCTTTGATGACGACGACGATCCTTTCGACATGGTTGTGGAGGCCAAGGTCAGTTTCAGTCTCATCGACCAGGTTGAGAAGCAGAATCTGATGTACATTTGTCAAGTTAGAAAGACCAGCACCTTCTCAAGCAGTGCTATTTGCTGGGGTTGTGACAAGTTTGTGAGAAGGGACGCCCTCGAACGATCATCTGATCTAAAGGGTGATTGTTTCACCATCCGGTGCGACATCATGGTCGTCCGCAAGGATTCCAAAAGTCAGGACGCCCTGGCTGACATGAACCAGCATTTTAGCAATCTCCTTCAAACCAAGGTGGGTGCAGACGTGACATTCGAGGTCAGCGGTGAGAGGTTTGCTGCACACCGGTGTGTGCTTGCGGCCAGGTCTAAGGTCTTCATGGCACAGCTATTTGGCCCCATGAAGGAGACGTCCACCGTTATACAGATCAAAGACATGGAAGCAACGGTGTTCAGGGCTTTGCTTATCTTCATCTACACAGATATATTCCCATTGAGAGAGGAGGAAATCATGGAGGAGGATGAAATGTCAGGAGTTATGGAAGAGGCACAAGAAGACAAGCCAGCAAAGGATGAAATGACGCTGCAATATCTGCAAAACATGTTTGTGGCAGCAGACAGGTTCGATCTCCAGCGGCTCAAGTTCATCTGTGAAAAGCGCTTGTCTGAACACATAGGTGTGAGCTCGGTGATGTACACTCTTGCTCTAGCCGAGCAGCACCAATGCCAGGGATTGAAGGAGGCGTGCTTGAAGTTTATGCAAGTCCAGTCCCCCTCGTGCTTGCAACAAGTAATGGCAACTAATGGGTGGGATCATGTAGTTTCGACCTATCCCTCGGTTTTGAAGGAGATCATTGCCAAGATTGCTTTGAACCGGTGCAAGTAGTAACACTACGTATCTGGTATGCATCTTCCTTAGACCTGTAGTGGCGCTCTTATGCATATATGGGATCCTAGAGAGATGGTAGGTAGTCTGTGCGTCTTGCTTTTGTTCTCGTCAGGTAATGTGTCTGTATGCTGAACCAGAAAAATCCAACTTATGGCCAAATTGTCTCTGTGAAATGGGTGGTCTGTATGTACATTCAGGTGTGAGCATCAAAATCGCTGTACTATGCAAGTTCCTTAATTAGCTAGTCGTTTAATCCTCGTATATTTCTCTGTGCATTAGTTGTCTCATAGTATACTGTTGCTTGTGCCTTTGCTGTCATGTAAATCCCTTTTCTAGTGGTTATATCAAGAAGAATAATGTAGATGTGTATGGAAAGACATTTTATGAACCTGTATTTTAGGGAATGAACTTGGTAGACAAGACAAAGAGCATCAGGATTCTTGTTGTCTTGAGCAGCCAGAGTGTCAAATCTTGGTCTCTGTACCCAAAAAAGATGGCATCCATCCTGGTGTATTTTGAAGCGTACATGGTTGATTGCTGTCATTTTGTGCGATGAAAAGCTGGGGATAGCATTGAGCACATTGTTGTCGATTAATGTCAGTTTGCAGGAAACCAGGGGATGTGAATCATCACTCTTATCTGTTTGCATGTTCTGTCAGACTCAGTACAAACATACGCAAATTGGCGTATTTTAACATACGTACATCTTTTTGTTAGTCTTTGTGTTGCTACTCACCCATTTATTTTATCTGACATTTACTACCCAAGTTGATGCTCTGTTCAAAGGCAGTGGCAATATATGTTGCACCTTGAGCCTTCATCAAGTGTGAGGGTGGGCATGATTATTATTCTCGAGATTAGATTACTGCTTGTGAGGGTGTCTCCGAGCTAGCTTGTTGATACTGGAATTACCCAGTTGTATAGGTGAAGATGGTAATGATAATCAGAATTCTTGGAGCTGCCTGCTATCTACTCGTGCTAGTGTAGGAATTTTGAATCTTGTTCTGGCTACGGATATCGGTAGCCTTACAAATATTGCCGTGAAATTGCAATTCACTCGACATGGGGATGCTTGCTGAAGCATTTTTTTTAACACATTGTATAGTTTCATTACATTTGCGGCTATATCTCCTTTTTAGAAGAAAAAAAATTCATAGATGCTCGATCTGTAGTCTAAAATCATACATACACTTGACTTGCTAGAAATAGACCAAAAAACTATTTGTTTACTAGATGATTCCCCGCGCGTTGCTACGGAAAATATTGCTTAAGATTGTTGTTTTACTTGGGCAAATTAACTCTCCTAGTAGGATGAATAAAATAATGAACAAATTATCCTGCTTTGGCAACAGCACTTTAGAATAATATACGTCATTGTAATGGTACATAAATAGGGTCAATCCTCCTAGTTATATCATTCAACTTTGGCAACAACACTTTAGAATAATATTCCCTCTGTAAAGAAATATAAGGTCGTTTAGATTACATCATTGTAATGGCACATAAGTAAGGTCGATACTCCTAGTTATATCATTCAACTTCTGGACGGTAGACGAACAATCACATTAGATGTAATATTACCCATGGAACTAACTATTATTACAAAGTAATTTCATGAGACGTTCATATTCAGCAATACGGGATAGTAAGATCTTTGCCAATGTGATCCTTCAGAGGGAAGAACAGAAGTTGCATCAAGTGGATGATAGCATCGCCTTCCTCAATGGTTAAGTAACTTGGCAGATAAAATCTAGATTTTGCAGAACACAAAGACACAAATGTATCAGGGAACATTAGGGCACATGTAGCACTTTTGCATACCTAAATTTGTACTTTTTGGGATCTAGGGTGTACCTAGATACCAGTTACAACAATATCTCTGTGAACTATGAAACCAGGGATCTCTTTCAGTGTGATTAAGAAAATAAACTGAGCAAAAATAGCAAGGGAATGCTCAACAAAGTAAAATCCTTGTCATAAGAGACAATAATGATTATACTTTTTGTCCCTAAAAAGTTGTTTATGATTTTCAGAACATTGTTCTCTGTTTCAGTGATCGGGTATCGACCATAAGAATGATAAACTGTAAAATAATCTTTTTATGAATCCATAGTACATGCTATTTACCATAAATCTACATGGAACACAAACACATGGAAGTACAGAGGAACAGTTGTGAAATTTAAGCAATGAAAGGATGCACGCCATCATTATTTGCAGCAAGACATGTGACAAACTCCCAAAAAGAACAAATCTTCATATACCTTCACATTGTTGAGTGTGAGGGAAGTAATCTGCAATAAGAAAACTAAATTAGAAAAAAAAAATCAGAGTTAGACACTTAGACTGCACTAACTAAGCACTTCAAAATTGCATGGGCTATTATATCCATGCCGTAATCAAAGTAAATAAGTTCAAAATCAAAGTAAGTAAGTTGACATCTCCAAGAATAAAAGGTAAATAAGTTTACTAACTAACGATAATCTCCTTTTTAGCATCCTCTTCATGAACTATAAGCTGCACATCATACTGAATCAAACAATGACCGCTTGAAAATGATAAAAACTTCAAAAATTAAAATCCTTCGAGATGTAGTTATGTTACTACATCTCACTACTAGGGAAAACCCTAGTAGTAGCGCAGGTTTTGAGGCTATCAGCAGCGCGGGCACCCGCGCTACCAATAAGGCGCTACAGCTAACTGTTAGTAGTAGCAATGTCTGCGCCCGCGCTACTACTATTGACTATATCAGCAGCGCGTTTTCCGAACGCGCTACTATTAGTTAGCTGTAGCGATTTCCTGAGCCCGCGCTACTGTTATATCTTTCACCATTTCCCCACTCCAGCTTCAATAAACTGCAATTTCCAGATACTAGGTACTACTAGATATCAATTTCATAAAGCATTATAGGTACTAGGTAGTACTCCCTCGGTTCCAAATTACTCGTCGTGGTTTTAGTTCAAATTGGAACTAAAACCACGACGAGTAATTTGGAACCGAGGGAGTACTAGATAACAATTTCATATATACTCAACATGCATCCTCAAGCAGTACAAGGTGACATCGACGACGATCATCATATTTAGTTCTAGATGATATCGACGACGATCATCATATGTAGTTCTACATGATATCGACGACGATCATCCTATGTACTTCTAGATGATAGAGTCACACACATATGTAGTTCTAGATGATATCGACGACGATCATCATCCTCAAGCTTGGGCGGTGGGTGTTCCTGATAGTAATTAGGATGGCCTGTCCAACACGAAGATTCTTGCCAACGAGGAATCTCTTCCACCCAACCGAGTTTAAGTGTGTGCGACCATCTGTGTCCATGCGGTAAGTACAGGTGGTGACGGATCCCCTTGCGGTAAGGCGTAGTCCAGCTGAGCCTTCTTCATCAGGATCGATACCACAACTCACAGATAGGTTCTTTGGCAATTTCTGAATAAAAAAAACATATCAATTAATAAATAGCCTCACACATACTCTTGCAAATATATTTCTATTAAGTCTAGATTTCACACAACATATCATTGGACTCTACACTAAGCATATCATCGGATAATTTGCATTTGTAAGTATAACATACCATATCATGTCGATCGATCATGGTACTTGTCAGGCGGGTCACGAATGGCACCCCGACAAAGTCAGCACGTGGTGGAATTATGTCCCATAGGTTGCACACCTCCTTCTCGCTCAGCCTCATTCTTTGAGCTACGATGGCTTCATGAAGTGGGTTCTAATCATCTTCATCGGGTGGGTCCTCATTATCTTCATCATCTTCTTCATCTGCATCACCTTCGTCATCGTCATCATCTTCCACCAGGCTGAGATAAATGACAGCCAGCTTGGGTCTTTCTGCTCTGAAGGAGAAGCTGATCAACTCACCACCAGTAAGACGCACGCGGGCGAGGAAACGGGCCCATCCATCTCCTCCAATCTGTGATATATTGCGTCCTTTCTTGACCTCCATAGTGTACGGCCCCCCCAGGAGCCTCAAATGTCACAGTGTCTCCTGTCGGCTTGTTGAATGTCAACCTCACATTGCATGGGACGGTCTGTGTAAGAAAAGAAAAATGACACAATGCAGTAATGCCAACACTAAAAATAAAATAGTTGTTACATTTCATCTAATTTCTTACTGCCGCATGACGAAAACTCGGCTGGAAGTAGATGCCAAACAGCTTGCCAGTTGCAAGGCTGCTGGCGCACCTTGACTTGCACAGTCGACATAGTGGTGGTGGTGGTGACGCCATTTTCCTAAAGCAATATGAGCAAAGGATTAATGATTCACTTCACAGGAAAGAAAAACAGTAGCATGTGATATTTTCCTAAAGCAATATGAGCAAAGCATCCTAAATCAACTAAATCAACTAGCATACTAAATCCAGTAGCATACTAAATCAACTAAATCAAAATGTTCTAAATTAACTAAATCAACTAGCCTACTAAATCAACTAAATCAACTAGCCTACTAAATCAACTAAATCAACCAGCCTACTAAATCAACTAAATCAAAATGTTCTAAATCAACTAAATCAACTAGCTTACTAAATCAACTGAATCATATCAACTAAGTCAGAATGTTGCATATGAACTAGCCTACTAAATCAAAATGTAGCAGGGGGGAGGGAGAAGGAGGGGCGACTTGAGGAGGGAGAAGAGAGTAGGACGGAGGAGGAAGGCGGAGCAAGGAGGGGCTGGCCGGCGGCGAGTGGAGGGAGAATGGAGGAGGAAGGCGGAGCGAGGAGGGGCTGGCCGGCG